TCCTTTGCGTTTGGAAGCGGGGGGTTGGGGTGGGGGGAGGACCAGGCAGGATGATTCAACCACTCAACCACTAGATGTCACTGAAAACAACAAATCCTACACAATGTGCCTTTAAGTCAGACATGAAATTGATCACTATGGTAGCGGGGGAGCGCAAACCCAAGTGAAGCCGACGTCAGACGAAAGGTAGRCCGTCTCATTTCACAGCAGTTTTGGGCAGCCTACCTGGCCCAGGGAGGACGTGGCCCAGCAAGGCTGGGTCCTCATGAATTGAGACACAGCCTCTTGTTTTAAAAATCCACCATGGCAGCTTTTGTACAACAGTTCCTGTGGGCTCTAAGTCCCAACAAGAAGGTGTGTGGGGGGGACATTTGATCTCTGGGTATCATGTGAACACAGTCTGAAGGTAGACCAACAGAAAACATTTTCACTTTGCAACTTTTTGAGTGAAACAGAATTCTTCACGAAAGCATATTTTCTTCACAAAGAGACCAACAAACTGCTGCAGCTTTCTGATATAAGCCTGGTTTATACTTCAACAAGACAGGAGACAGCAGATCAGTGATCGTCATGCCAGACATCGACATCTGAACAAGCAGTGCAGAAGATCCAAAATAAGATTGTTTCATGTTGTATGATGTAACATTTGATTTTCATGTCCTCAGGATGTAGCTGTAGTGGAGCTGGATGAATCAGACGATCAGTCCAGTGAAGACGAGGAGACATCAGACTCCGACGATGAGGATGATGATGATGATGATGATGATGGCAGAGAAATCGCGGAGAAAAACCTCAAACTGCCCGGAGACCAAGGCAAGAAAAAGAAAGCCAACATCCAGGTTGTGGAGCAGCAAGAGGACTAAATAATCAGACACAAGACTTTACGTCCACACCAGGCGGTGTTTATAAAAACTACTCCTGTGGATTTTTTTTTATCTGTCTAAAGGATAAAAACAGACATGAACACAAGGCTTCTGTGTGAAGCAGACATGACCTCCTCTTCCCTAAGGGAAAATTGAAAAACAGGATTTCCTACAGAAGAAAAAATCCAGTCCGGTGTGTCGAGGTGAAGAACTGCTGAGCTTGTTCACATTTTACACACAAACCACTTGTATTTGCACGAGTTTTAGTTTAAAAAATGATTTACCTGTACTTTTTCTCACTCTAATCATTTCTCAAGAACATTTATTTTAAAAGTCACAGCTGCCACATCGATTCTAAATGCAGCCCTACTGATGGTATAGGGGTGCATTAGTGCCCCTGGTGTTGGCAGCTAACACACTGTGACAGAAAAGTATACACAGGTTTTAGAACATGGATGTTGGGGAAGGCTTTGTGTATTTCAGCAGCACAATGATAACAGATGAGAAGCTCTGCGTCAGTTCAGGTTAGATGACTTGTTGCAGCTGAAACATAATCACCCTGCAGTTACTGTCCTATTGGACGCAGTTAAATCCAGGAGGGGACTTTTTTTTCAGTGGGCTTTGTGTGTTAAAGACAAAGAAACACCTGTTCTGAGACGAGTGGTGAAAAGTACARCTGGTTTTAAAAATGATGTTTGTGTTAAATTTCAAGCCGTTTCAGTAGAAAACAGTCCTTTCATATATGGGGTGTGTGGCGTCATATCAGTATGACAGTGTATCAGGGTCATTTTGCAGATGAAAAAAAAAGGAGTAAATCTCCGGCAAACAAACAGAAATTTTGAGATTAAGAAATTTTCAAGAAAAAATAATTCTCCGACTCTGAGCCCTAAAAATTGTAAATTTGCTAATTCTCCCACCTGTCTACCTGACTATGCTCAATTTATTCATGAAACAGATAAAACGTGCTGAAATCACACAATACTGAAGTTTCACAAATCACACACTTGGTTTAAAATCCACTGCAGTCAGTGTAGAATAATCCAGTCCAGGTTTGAAGTGTTTTAGTTTTTAAACTGGAGCAGATTAAAGAGTGAAAACAAATGGAATCGCCCTTAAAGGCACAGTGTGTAGGATTTGTTGTTTTCAGCGACATCTAGTGGTTGAGTGGTTGAATCATCCTCCCTGGTCC